ATATAGAATAATTTTATAAAATTTGAAAAATAAACAAAAATATAAAACTAATGCACAAAGATATTTTAGTAAATGATATGCTTTAGAACAAATCTTACTTATCTCACCTTAGCTGTCTACAACTTAGCTCACGCTTTTAGAACATGTTCTTTAGAACATTTATTATTGAATAAATCACAATTTTGTTGTGCAACTATTGTGTAATAATTGAAGATAAATGATCGTATATCGGAATTCATGGATATACTTTATTATTTTTGTATAATATTTGCACATTTTTATTCGGTATTTTTCAAATACTTATTCACAAACAATAACTAATCTATCTTCAATTATTACTATTTCCAAAACATATTAATAATCATTTTTGACTATTCGTTAGAATCATCATTTCCAAAATATATTAATAATCATTTCCAAAACATATTAATAATCATTTTTGACTATTCGTTAGAATCATCATTTCCAAAACATATTAATAATCATTTCCAAAACATATTAATTATCATTTTTGACTATTCGTCAGAATCATCATTTCCAAAACATATTAATAATCATTTCTGACTATTCGTCAGAATCATCGGAGATGTTATTTATATTTGCTTGATTTAATAATTTTTTCAATAACTTGCATTTCGTTTTCTCAATTTTTATTATTTCAGTATGCCTATTTTCTTTGTCTTTCAATCTTTTAATTGCTAATTCTTTTTTTTGCTCTATCTGTTTTCTTTTTAAAGCTACTATTTGTTTTTTCAGCGTAAAACTTTCAATCGCTCTTTCCTCAGATTTCATATGTCTTTCATCACGTGCAGTATCTCTTATTTCTTTGGTTGCTAGAAATTTTAACCACTGTTGTTCAAGGTGTACTTTTTTATTTGCTAAGTTCGACCCTGTTCCATGCGGGGAACGAACTATTGCTGCTGTATTTTTATTATTCATCAATGGCGAAGTAACTGAAATTGTAGCAGTAGAGGCACTGGAATTTGTAGAATCTGAAATTGTAGCAGTAGAGACACTGGGACTTGTAGAATGATGTATAACCACATCCGGTGATGATGATTTAGAAGCACAATTTGCAATATCCTTTTGGCCTTTTTTTGCTATTATTTTACTCGATACGGTATGGGCGACAATAGCATCCTTATTTTTGCCAAAAATTTCATCTAATTGGTCGTACCATTTAAATTCAATTTTACCTCTGCCGGATTTATTGTTATTATCACAACATTCTTTATACTTTTTTTGCAAGATATTCATTTTCCATCTAAACTGATCACTGGACATCTAATAATTTTTGAGAAAAAAAGAATGACTACTTTAATGAAGAAATGCCGACAGGTAAAGGTTAATGTACATATGTATATGTATAAATATATATTTTACATATATGTACGGGGTGTCCGGTAAAGACGATTACAATGCTCAAGGGTAGATTCTGACAATTTTGAGACAAAAATCCTAATACTAAAATATCGAGGGTATAATAGTTGTTGAATTATAAACATTTAAAGTTAGTAGCGAATCATATCAGACGAAAATCCTAATACCAAAATATCGAGGTTATAAAAGTTGTCGAACATTTAAAGTTAGCAAAATCATGTTTCCTAAAGCTCTCGCGTTCAGATATGGTTGGAATTTTACGTTGTACTACACCTGATCGCTCGAATGTTAGGCGATATGATTCGCTACTAACTTTAAATGTTTATAATTCAACAACTTTCGTAACCTCGATATTTTGGTATTAAGATTTTTGTCTCAAAATTATCTCGAGAATACTTTTAAGCGTTGTTACAATCTTTATTAGACACCCTATATCTATAAAACTGGATTTTAAATATTGTTTCATAGTTAAATGTTCAAAGTTGAGAATTTTTCTTTAAAGACAGTATACAAAAATTTTTTAATTTAGTTTGTAAAAAATATACGTTTCTTTTATCATACCTGGATTTCAAAATCTTTTAGGCCCTCTGATATTGCTGCCCAAATTTTGGTTTTCTTTTTAGGATGATCCAACATATGTATATTGGCTTCATACAGGCTAAAAAGAGCCATTATTGCATTATCAGTCCATATAGCACCTATAAAATATTTAAACAATAGCTTATTTAAAGATAATAAAAAATAAGAAACAGGCTAATGAGAGTGAAATTTTTGCGATAAATCATGCAAATTAAAATATTTATTACTATTTAATAATAAATTATTTATTAATATTTAATTTGCATGACTTATCGCAAAAATTTGACTCTCATTAGGCTGTTTCTTATTTTATTTAATTGACAATCTCGAGAGTTAT